GCTGAGCAAACTCAGCAAAAAAAGAAACTTCAGGAAGTGGAAATGAGGACAGGTGGCCTGGGAGGAATTGTTTGGGAAGCTAGGGACAAGGTTAGGGAGACAAAGACCCAGTTAAAATCGAGTCTAGCCGGGGATATTAAGGATAACAGGAAGGGCTTCTATAGATATGTTGTAAGTAAAAGAAGGGCTAGGGGTGATGTGGGCCCTCTCCAGAAGGAAATGGGAGACCTAGCTGCCCTGGACAAAGAGTAGGCTGAGTTTCTCAACTACTTTTATGCTTCATTCCTCAATGGCAAGTGCTCCAGCCGTGCCATCCGAGTCAGGAAAGAAAATGAAGGGACTAGGAAAATGAAGACTCTAAGCCCACTATAAGAGAGAGTCAGGTTCGAGACCATCTAAGGAACATCAATGTGCACAAGTCTATGGGACCCAATGAGATTTATCTGCAGGTCCTGAGGGAGCTGACAGAGAAAAGTTGCTAAGCCATTATCCATAATTTTTGAAAAATTGTGGCAGTCAGGTGAAGTCCCTGGTGAGTGGAAAAAGGGAAATATAACCCTCATTTTTAAAAAGGGGAAAGCCAAAGACCTGTGAATCTGCAGACCAGTCAGTCTTGCCTCTGTGCCTCAGAAGATCATGGAGCAGATTCTCCTGGAAACTATGCTAAAGCACATGAAAAACAAAGAGATGATTGGTAACAGCCAACATGGCTTTACAAAGCGGAAATCATGCCTGACAAATTTTATGACCTTCTGTGATGGGGCTACAGCATTGGTGGATGGGACAGAGCAACAGACGTCATCTACCTGGACTTATGCAAAACATTTGACACTGTCTCCAAATTGGAGACATGGATTTGATGGATGGACCACTCAGTGGATAATGAACTGACTGGATGCCTGCATGCAAATAGTTGTGGTCAATGGCTCATTGTCCATATGGAAACCAGTGACGAGTGGTGTCCCTCAGGGATCACTACTGGGGCTGATACTGCTCAACATCTTTGTTGGTGACATCGACAGTGGGATCAAATGCATCCTCAGCAAATTTGATGACCGCACCAAGGTGTGTGGTACAATCAACACACCTTGGAGGGAAGGGATGCCATCCAGAGGGACCTTGAGAGGCTTGAGAGGTGGGTTGATGTAAACCACATGAAGTTCAACAAAGCAAAGTGCAAGGTCCTCCACCTGGGTCATGGCAATCCCAGGTACACCTGCAGGTTGGATGGAGAAGTGATTGAGAGCAGTCCTGCAGAGAGACTTGGGGGTAGTGGTTGATGAAAAACTCAGCATGAGCTGGCAGCATTCGCTTGTAGCCCAGAAAGCCAACCACATCCTGGGCTGCATCAAAAGGAGCATAGCCAGAAGGTAGAGGGAGGTGATTCTCCTCCTCTACTCTGCCCTCATGACATCCCATTTGAAATAGTGCAAAGTGTTCTGGTACCCCCCCAAAATTAGAAGGGTATGGAACTGTTGGAGCAAGTCCAGCAAAGGACCATGAAGTTGATAAGAGGACTGGAGCACTTTCCCTAGGAAGACAGGCTAAGAAAGTTGGGGCTGTTTGTCCTGAAGAAGATTGTGTGAAGACCTCATAGCAGTCTTCAGTATCTGAAGGAGGCCTACTAGGAAGCCAAGAAGGGAGTCTTCATTAGGAACTGTAGTGATAAGACAAGGAGTAATGGGTACAAATTGAAAGGGGGAGAAATTAAGGTAGATATTAGGAAGAAATTTTTTACTGTGAGGGTGGTGAGACAATGGAAGAGATTGCCCAGGGAGGTTGTGGATGCTCTGATCCTGTCAGTGTTTGAAGCCAGGTTGGATAAGGCCTTGAGCAACCCAATCTAGTGGGAGGTGTCCCTGCCCATGGCAAGGAGGGTTGGGACTAAATGATCTTAGAAGTCCATTCCAACTCCTTAACATTCTATGATTCTTTGAGATTCTGTGACTGAAAACTACAGGACAAAAGCTGAATATTTCGAAGACCATGGGATTGCAGAGGTCTTGGTATAGCACACAGGCAAAGACAATGTTAGCTTATGTTCCCTTGCTTAGTTGTGGGATGAAGGAATAGAAGCATTTCTGAGCCCCTGGGCAATGCGACAACACCAGGCTCAGCACTGTAATAGCTACTTAGCCCTCCTAACTGACACATTCACATTGCTTGTTGTGAAGAGCAGTGCTTGAACCATGTGCAAGCTATGTTGTTGAGGAAATAGAAGCAACCTTTGTCCTTTGTTTTCACTTTCCACTTTCATTTCTCTTCGTTCTTTATTAGTTTCAGTTTAATTGAGATTGGGTTTTTTTTTTTTTTTGTTTTTCACCAGAGTGCCCCAGTGGCATTGTTAATTCTGTGGAATTAAATTGCTTAATTCTGTGGAATTAAAGCAGGGAGAGACATATCCCTGAATGGTCATTAAGAGAACCAATTGTTAATTGGTAGCTTTTCACTTCTTGTTTCTATATATGCTAACATTTACTTTTTTTTTAAATAAAATTACTTGACAATCCTTTTGTATACCACACCATTATAAGGAATCTTTCCTGCATAAATAAAGTAGCTGTAGTTTACTCTAGTTTAATCATCTCTGAGGATGTGAACCTCCATGGCAATTACTGATTAAGTTACTGTGAAGCAAGACTACTTTGCTCTTGGATGAGAGCATCTACAGGCGTGTAACACTGATGTCACTCCTGTAGTTGCTTTGTCTTAACTTTTCTTAGTATATTAGACATGGCCTAAATTTAAGGTCTTAGTATTTTTGCGTGACTAATATATTCAAATCAAAGGAAAGGGAATTTCAGTGCCAATGTGGGAACTTAGGCTTCGAATATATTTGAGTGTATTTGAAAATATGGTTTGGCCCTGGAAACACTTGAGGTATATCACTGGAATTCTGGCACTGTATGTCTTATAATTTCTTTCTTTAGTACCATTATGAATTTCATGGCCATAACAAGAAATCAAATCTCTTTTCTGTTCTCACTCCTTGTGTCTGATTTTGCCACCTCCTGATAAAGGACTTCTGTGTCCTTTACGTTCCAAAAAACTGAGCAGAACATAACAGGGGTGAAAAAGTTTATTACATCATAAGGGTGATTTGACTTCATGTCACAGATCAAGGTGCTTTTAGATGTTATACAATAAAGAGTAAGTGTTGGCACTGCCTCACAATACTGGTAGTCCAAGCAGTAAGAGAAGAGGCAACAGATGGACACAGATGGGTAAAGAAGTGCAAGAGATAATATTGGTCAGTTAACTAGCTAAAATAAAATGAAGCAGCTGTTGAGTTTCAGTGCTAATTTTCAGAATATCAGAGCCTTGTGTATGTGAGAGGGTGTGAGACAATAGATTAATAATTTTTGGCTTGGACCAACTCAAGTGTGTGTGTGTTTGGCGGGGTGGGAAGGGACAGGTTGAATTTCATGGAGGTGAGGTACTGCCCTATCCCACAGCCCCAGCCTCTGTGAGTCTCCTGGGGCAGCCCTGGAGCAGCTCTCAGTCCCTGGACAGTGGGAGCACTGCCCATACAGCACCTCGGAGCCCCTGACTCAGCCCAGGATTGGCTGGCACATCAGAAGTCCCACCTGGGGGCAGGGTGTGTGGCCACAGCGGGGCCAAAGCAAATGAAAGGAGCAACATGTACTCTCTGTGCTTGTTCAAACCCTGCCACCTGGACAGGTGGAAGCTGGACTCTCACAGGACTCCGGTGGTAGCTATAAGCTATAAGCTCTCCTTTTCTTTACTTCTTCTTCTCCTAATCTCCTTCTTAATATTTTGGCTGACTTGGAACTGAATGCGCTGGATTTTCTTAAGCGGTATGGGTTAGCATGTGCTAAGTCAATGCTTTATGGAATGCTTTCTTTTGGTTGAGTGTTACGCTTTAAAGTTTTGCCAAGTTAAATGAAATTATAGAAGCAAGGTCTGAGTCAGGAGTGCCCTTTTTGTAACTTACTAGGAGAGTTGAGACTTGTTTATGGAGAATGGAAAACAGTAGACTTATTAAGCCTGCTTTTCTCATATTGCTATTTTGTCTAAAGAGTGAAGGTTTGCTGAGGTGAAGGGGAGTACATAATGCTTAATTCAACTTACAGTTTGTAAGTTAAGTTTTACACTATGTCAAGTGTATACCAAGGTCATGCATTGTGGGACTGTTTATTAACATTTGCGTAAATTGTTTGACATTTCTAGTCTGGGTGTTGGAGATAAATGCAGTGTGTTCCCGCAGTTGACATTGTACCTCTGCCAACAGAAGGAGGAATCTAGAGAATTGAAAGAATCATGGCACCATACTCTCTCAAGCCTCTGGATTTACACAAGAATTTTTATTCTCTCAATCACACTGGTACCCGTGCTTCTTTCAACTATCTCCCTTGATCAACACTGAGGGGTAGGGATTGTTAAGGCAGATTAAGCTGTTGGACATTAAAACCTTGCTAACACTGATAGAAAGATGGACATTTACCTGAGCCAGTCAGCATAGTACAGAGAATATTGGCTTGACACTGGCTCCTCACAGGGAGCTACTGTAGGACCACATCATGGAGATACTACACACAAGTTATTAAGTCCTGTCTTTTAGTACTTAGTAAACCTCATGCAAGGTTTATCTGTTTGGCTGTGAAACTCTAGCCATGCAAAACTGTCTTTGAAAGCGATTGAGCTGAGGAGATCCCAGCTGCAAAGAGGAGAAAGTGTTCAGTGTGTTCCTGGAGTGCTCACTGGGGAGCTTACAAATGAGGTGCTTTGCAGTATCTACACCAGCTGGATATGTAGGCATTGAAAGTGCCTGAGGGTTCTCTACAGCAGTTGATAGCACCAGACTGATGCCTATTTGTCTGAATCTTTGCCATTTTTGTTCCAACTAGCACTTTATTGGTAGCATTTCAGGGGTTATTGGAGTTTGTGCTTAGGGTCACATTGTTGCTATAGAAGAGTATAATGAGAATGTGAAGATGTCTTCTGTACTGATTTTTCTGTGTCTTTTTCCTTCTTTACAGCATTTTGTTTGCAGACATTGTGGGGTTTACTAGTTTGGCATCACAGTGTACTGCCCAAGAACTGGTGAAGCTGCTGAATGAGCTTTTTGGAAAATTTGATGAGTTAGCTACAGTAAGTACAAATTCTTATTTCAATTTAATTTATATTTCCTTCTGAAAAATGATGCATGAGTTACATATGTTAGAAATGTAATAGACTGATTTAGCCCTGTGTGTCATGAATTTCTAAAGCTTCCATTTTTTATTAATGTTCTGGAAAGAAAACAGTCTATTTTAATTGTTTAGGAAAGAAATGTGCTATTTTTAAATATACTTTTCTTTCCCCTCCATGCAGTCCATCAGTGTTCTTTATTAATTTTGTTTGCACCAAAATAGAGAAAATATTTCAATATTTACATTTCTATCCTTGGATAAAAGCCCAGAATAATGGAAAATATGAATATTGGCAGTTTGGCATAAACTACTTTCTGTGATAGTAGGAAGTTAGAGAGTAAAATTTGTTCTTCACAGAGAGCGCTCCTTCCCACAGAAATGACAGTAGCTTTTCAGAGGCTATTGTAGGCAAAATGGGATCCATATCATAACTGATGCTTATGTTTTGGTTGCTACACTTACATTGTGCTAGATTCCCCAAGGAAGAGAAAATGAGAGAAATGTTCCTTGCCTATAACTCCAAGCAGCCTAATTTGACAAGAACAATTTGACAAAAAATGAGAGGAATAGATGTGCCAGAAAGTCACACATCTTATTTCAAATTACATTTAACAAGACGCTGAAAATGTGCTTTCCCCTTGAAAAAAGCAGAACTTGTCAAATCTATCTTGTTTGCCAGCCATGTCCGTAGAGCCTTCATTGCTGAGAAGTGTCACTTCCACAAAAATTATGCTCCTCCACTATCTAGCTATTTTGTCTTCAGACTCTGTGCCGCAGCCTAGAGAACATATTTCTTTAGGCCCTCAGCATAAACAGCATCCACATTTTTTCAGTCCAAACTCACTTCTCCTTGATGCAGTCTTCCACAGGAGAGATCTAAAGCATGTGGACATTTTGCGTCTGTATCTTCCTCTTGATAAACAGCTCCCAATACCCCAAGGAGGAAGAAATCTTCTGCTCCACAAGATGCCAGGGTTGAGAAAGAACTATTCTTAGTTCAATGGATTATCATTTGATTGAGTGCTATGTCCTGATTTGCACTAAGTAGTCATAACAGAAAGAAACTGTGTGTTCCCTTTTCCCAGGTTAAGCAGAAGATTAACTTAGATGCTGAGTAGAGATGCAATGGAGGTATAGGGGGTTTTTATATGAATTTATACGTATTCATAAGCCTTTGTGTAATCAATTAATTACTGGAACTACTGGCAGTGTCTCATAGAGACCACAGGTCCCCAGCCCAGAGTGCTTCATAGATGGATACTGTAGAAGTAAAATGGACTTCCATGTGGATAGTCATTGGTAAGAGCTTAAATGGCTTAAGAAGTTCAGATAGGCTCCTTACTTCAATTTCATTTTAATTCCATCCTTCAAATGTCAACCAGACATCTAACAAGCTCTTTTAAAACTTATAATGCTGTCATTCATGGAGTCTTCATAGACAGGAAACACATGGCAATGTAATAACATGGAAGTACTGTGACACAACACTAGATTTCATATGTGCACACAGAAATGCATAAGCCTATGGCATGTGCAGCATGGCACTGAAGCCAGGGATATGGCTAGCCTACCATGCTTGCTTCCTTAAAAGTGGCCACATGCTACCAGCTGGAGGTGTCACTGACACCTGAAGGCAGGGTACCAGGCAGATGACAGCTTTTGGTGTGAGGTCAGTTGTTGGTCAGGGAAGAAGCAGTTCAGAGTTAGCAGAGGAGCTAAAAAGCCTTAGATTTTCTGCCCAGCCTCCAAGGATTCTTTTTCCAAATTTAAAATAGATCCCATGGTTTCTTTCAGCTATGTGAGGAAGATTTGCTATTTAGTTGTACTTCTGGCTCAGTTTGTGCTGTATTGAGGTGTGATTAAGGAGAGAACATACAAATTTTCCTTAGCACCTTGTGATGTGATTAAGGGAGACTTGTAATTGTGTCTCCTGCAGTCAGAGAAATGTGCTGAGAAGTGCAATTTTTCAGAAGGATTCTGATCTCCTGGTTAAAGCAGCTTCTAGATATTCATTATTAGGTCAAAACAGAGGACTGGGCTGATTTTTATAACTATGATGTGCTTTAGTATTCAGAATGATTAAGGAGGAAACTGTAGGGACTTTAAAGAGAAGTGTAACAGTGATAGATATGCTCGCTGTGGCTACTAAAGTGCAATCTGTGAGTGTGCAGGCTGTGTGGTGCTGTTTCTTTGGAAGCAATGTCAACTGGAAAGGGGCAGTTTCTGACAACTCTTGTTAAAACAATTGCCCTGTTGTGCTGGTTTAAAGGTAAACCGGCAGGGGAAATGGACCTAACTCAAAAGAGAGAAAAACAATTTAATAAAATAATACAATAAGTATGATTATACAGACAAACAATTGGTTTTAACCCACAAAACCCAAATATATAACCCAGCACCCTGGGGCATGAACAGAGTGGTGTTCGTTGAGCCCCCTGAGTCCAAAGTAAAAGGAGAGGGGAAAACCTGTTGGTGAGAGTGCTGTTGCAGTCTGGTCAAGGGTGGTGATTGCAGTCCAGTCGAGAGTGGTGACTGCAGTCTGGTTAAAAAGTGGTGGTTGCAGTCCAGTCAAGAGTGGTGGTTGCAGTCTGGTTGAGAGTGGTGGTCTGCAGTCTTCCTCTGGATCCCACGAGTGGTTAAAAAAAGTCCCAAGACCCCAAGATTATATATTCTCCAGTTCAGGCAGGAATGCCCAGTACCTCCCTCAGGGCAGGGAGTTCCATGATGGGTATGAGGACAGGAGCATCTTCCTTTCTTGCAGGCCTCTTAACACCTAGTTTATAGCCTGAGGAGTCAGGCTGCTCTGGGCAGATGGTGTAAATGGTCTATTGATAACAGTTTCTGGGAAATGGCATGGAAAGCTATAGAATACACAGTTTTGGGTTACACTCATACAGTGATGAACTGGTCCCAGCTGTTCTAACTAGGACATTATCCACCCCTTATTCTGTGCCATCCATGTCATGCCCAAATTAACACCCTTTCAAGTATTGTAGGAACATATAAATGGGCAAGTAGCACAGAGATTAGATCTTGCCTATTATACGGTATGTTTTAGGTAAGAGGATACTGTGCTTGGTATGCTAATTCTTTGTCACAATTTGTGTCATAATTTGTATACTTGTGGTAAATTACTAAATTCTTCCTGAGTTTGTATGCTGCAAATCTGAGGTTTGCATCTTTGTATATGACTGTATTGGATTATTCCAATCGGCTTCAGATGCTTGAAGTGTGGGCACTTGTACTGAAACCAGTTATTTTGACTATGCAGTTAGCATAGAGAAAGATATTTCTGCAATCTGGAAAACTAACCATTTCTTGAAATTTAGAGCTCAATTTTTCAGCAGTTTATAATGTATTTGTTTTAGGCTTGGTTCTCCTGAGATATATCTCTTCATAAAAAGACAGAATCTAAAAGGATACTTAATAAAAGCTAGGAAGGAGACAACCATGCATGTTGGTCATGATGATTGTGTAAAATATTCTTGCTAAAATCGTTTTTCATTTCTAAGTAAATTAACATATATGACTGTCTCATATGTGTCTGATTCGTGTCTCATTCTCCAGGACTAAAAACATTTAACATTCTAGTTTTGTAAAATTACCCTCCATATGGAGGAATTTATTGTGAGAGTGGGAATGCACAGAAAAGTTTGGCCAAGAAACGAGTAGGTTATTGAAGGTCAGCATATAAAATTGCCAATAAAATTGAGGGAAAGCATTTGAAACAAAATGTTGTCCTTTTTATAGCTATCCTGAATATTTCTACATTTGTTTATGAATTATATGGCTCCCATGATGGTAGGTAATTTGTGATGACTTCACAAACACATTACTAAATTACAAACTTATGTATGCTCATCTGGAGATGACCTGCTTTCCTCAATCAGAGCTTATCAAGTCATTTTCTGTGGCACCTCCTGTACTGTAACCAAATTTGTTTTCCTTTCCTATTTTCTACTGCTCTGCAGAAGCTCTTCTTGTTAAGTCTATACTAACTCTTACTTTAGTAAGTATGTCTCCATTACTCTGCTAAATCGAACTCTGGAGTATTGCATTTAGCTCATTCTCAAGGTTTTTTATGCTGGGACTAGCAGATGTGCAAAAACTAATGTAAGTTGATAAAGCTACTATTTGCAGGATTTATTCCATTAAATGTTATGAAAATAGTTGTTTCAATTTTTAAACCCACAGTTCAAAACCTGGGTGAAAAAATGGTAAAATGTGTTTGTAGTAATTGACAGGGTTCGGTGAAATTTTCTAATGGGCTGGGCAATTTTCATAAGTGTGTTAGCAGTATTGGCACACTGCAATGTAATTGAGCTGATGGTAATTTCCATGTCACTTCATTATACTTAGAAGTTGATTACGAAGCTTATCTGATAAGGTGGCTTCAATAATCTCTCACATGTTGTGGCCCACATCCAACATAGTTACTAAAATAGATTTGGATACTACATGTAGAAACCATATTGGTAAATCTTTTTTGTTTTACTGAAAAAAACTCCCAATTTGATAAGGGAAATTACTGTTTGTCATTAATGAAAGTTTCAGATGGTATGAATAAACTCTGCATTCAGCTCTGGGGCCCCCAGCACAAAAGAGACCTGGACCTGTTAGCGTGGGTCCAGAAGAGAGTAACAAGAATGATCAGAGGGCTGGAAAATCTCTCCTGTGAAAAAAGACTGAGAGGGTTGCTATTCAGCCTGGAGAAGTGAAGGCTCCAGGGATATCTCATTGTGGCCTTTCAATATGTAAAAGGGGGCTTATGAAGACTTTACCAGTATCTGTAGGACAAAGGGACAAAAAGGGTTTAATCTGAAAGAGTACATTTAGATGGTATATGAGGAGGAAACTCTTTATGATTAGAGTGGTGAGATGCTGACACAGGTTGCCCAGAGAAGCTTTGGATGCCTCATCTGTTGAAGTGTTCAAGGCCAGGTTGCATGGGGCTCTGAG